CATCCTCCACGGTCCAGCAACTAGCTCAGCTCTGCTCTCTACACCCATAATCATTCTTACAGGCCTGACTTAATTAAAACGTCAGCTCCACTACCGCAATATGCAGGCCAGTCCTTGCCAGATTAAAAAGAAATTAGGATGGCAGATGTGTCTTTAATGGCTTAATCATGCCTTTATATTGGGTCCAATAAAACACAGCCAGGGTGTAATATTGCAAAATAAATTTTCTTATGCAACTAATGTAAAAAACAAAAAAACAAAAATAAGGAAAATTTGCAATGCAGATTAGAGGCCGGCTGTTTTGGGCATGTTGAGCAAAAGCCTTGGAGTATTAACATCTGTTAGAGAGAGAGAGAGAAAGAGAGAGAGAGAGAAATAGCAGACGAAAGTCAAGTGATGAAATAGTAGACGAAAGTCACGTTCACATGCGTGGAGAGTTTCTAATTGTATTTTGTTTTTCATTATTTGACCCCAGCTGATATTCTCGTCTGTTCTTCTGACAGCCCGCCTTCGATTTCCCAGAACTTCTTGTACTGATGTTCAAGCCAAATGAGGCATGAAGGCAAACGCCTAGTGTCCAGCACTAACCGCATCATGCTCTGCAAGACTGTGCGAGTGTCTGCATCACTATGTCAGTCTTTAACGGCTTACTCAACCACCATTCAAAGACTGGCCACTTTCTTAGAAGCCTCTTCCTTGTAGCTCCACCTTGTATGGTGTACAGTTGTGATTGTAGCCCTATCTACTGATCTCACCTGCCATCAGTGGTCAGTTTCTGACCACAGGGCCCCTCTTGGCTAGACATTTTTTGGGTGGTGGACGACTCTTAACCTAGCATAGACATTATCATGTGTAAAAACTACACCAACACCACTGTATCTGATACTTACAATGGTCCAACACCCAAATGATATCTGGACAACAGCAGTGCTGTGGTCAGAATCTGACCAATGATGAATAAAGGAAGGCTGGTAAACTATGCAATAATAATTGAGCTGTAATTCTACACCTAGTGAAATTATGATGTAGATGGAGCTAATAAAGTGGACAGTGAGCCGAAGTACAAGGTAGGAGTTTCTAATAAAATGAACAGTGAATGTATTCAGTAACTTCTAACTGTTCCAGGAGATCCAACAACCGGTCAAGTTTATTTAATGTTTTTTTTTTTTTTTAAATAAAAGTTTTCAATACAATAACAATCAAGATAAACTTGTGTAATTACATGAGTAAAAAGTGAAGTTGATACACATGTACTGCACTACTGTATTGTATAAGCACTACTGGAATCCATCTGCAACAGTAAAACAGTAGTTAAAACAGTTATTAGAGACACAATATAAGTCGGACTGGGTCATTTTATACATGTGCATTTTGTCCATGTACCTGCCGCAACATTAGTTTTATATTGTTTATAACAGTGATTCTAAATTTTTACATGTATAATAATAATAATAATAATAATAATAATAATAATAATAATAATAATAAAAGCAACAACACACAGCAACAAAAACCTCCTATATGTGTTTACAGATATGGATTAATATATGGGTACATGTGAAACAATAATTTATAACAATGTATGTAATAGAGATGTATATATAAGTAATAATAATAATAATAATATAATCCTGTATGTCCTCTATTGCAATGTCCTCTTTTTTATTTATTTATTTATTTATTTATTTTTGTGAATAGCATTTTACGAGGTCAGGATCATTTTGTTGGTGCTGTGGGTCAGAACCAGTTTTCTGTTTTTTTCCTAGAAACTATATGAAAACAAACACACACATACAGCCCCCACCCAATCCCCCCAACACACACCCACTTAGTGAGATTTTCATTGCTGTGGTGGTGTTTTCCGCCCCCTCCTCCCACCTGGGTCTGCATGTAATTGTAGCTGGGCTGATTTAGGAGAGAAGATTTTGGAGTGGAGGCACTTCACTGAGGAGGCTGTGAGAGTTCTGCCTGAGAGCACTCAGCTCTGACTATATTAGGACACAAATGCAGGGATGAACACAAGGATCAGATGGAGATGGAGGAAGAAGGGGAGGAAAAAAAAGAAACACAATCTGAGGCCTAATTTTGTTATGCCTCATGGCACTAAGATTTTTTAGGGGATTTTTTTGTTTGTCCCAGCCACTCACTCACTCATTCGCTCACTCGCTCAGCACTGTCCCTCGGCTACATGAGCGTAGTAATATTTTGTGCATTTCTGTCGCAAACCGAAAAATGTGACGGGAGACAGGAGTTCTTTGCGGACAGTTCTTTCCTGCACGTTCCGTTAGCGGGTGCTGGCATTTGAGAGCAGGCGTTTAAACGTGTTGAGATGACATGCTTGACACCCAGGAGTAATTTCATCGTGCTATGTGCCCTTTGGGGAGGAAATGTCACCCTGACACTGTGGATCAAGGAGAGAGAGGGAGAGGGAGAGAGAGAGAGAGAGAGAGAGAGAGGGAGAGAGGAAAGGAGGAAAGGCGTTTCACTCCCGTCTCCTTCACAGGCCGGAGAAGGATGGTCACGGCTGGCCGTTTGGTCTCGCCGTTCTGTCGTCTCATTTGCAGCTAATTTCACAGTCTTGTCGACTCAAAATGAACTCTTGGAAATTAGATCCCTGCATGTCAAGTAACTGTCATACAAACACCCTTAACCAAGCCACTTAACCCCTTAAAGAGTAAAGGCCCGTACGTGGATCCACATTTTAATTCCTCATAACAACATACAGAAACTCACACTGCTTTCAAAGTAGTTGCAAAATAAATTAACAACACTCCTTGTGATCAGTCGCAGGGCCAGGACTGCTGTTTTGCATGCTTAAATGGTTCTTTGCATGGTGAGATGGTTCTTCGGATTGATGGAGAATATAGTCTATATAGAACCTTTTTGAAAATGATTTTATGTAGCACCAAAAAGGCCTGCTATTGTTACGATGCCAAGCTTGTAACAATAGCAGAACCCTTTTTGGTGCTATATAGAACCATACACAACACATTCCCCATCAATGTAAAGAACTATTTCATTATGCAAAGAATGATTTAAGCACGAACTCATGGTTCTAAACAGAGACATTGCCTTTACTAAAGAAACCTCGGAAGAACCATTTTTTGAAGTGTGCATGAGGCATCTGCTGTGCATCAACCTCAGAACAGGAAAATAAATAAAAGAGATATAAAACTCAAAACTTGTAACATAATGTACTAAAATCTAAAATCACTTTGCACAAGAAGTAATGATGTACAATATTTGATACACTCACAATATTTCCTCTATTGCTCCAGCATTTACGCCTTCAGATTTAAAGCCCCATGTTGTAGTCAAGACTGCTCTGAGTCAAGACTGAGACCGGGACACACTGCTCTGAGTCAAGACCAAGACTTTTAGTAATTGAGACTGAGACAAGAAAGAGACCAGGAGTGGCCAACACTGAGACAAGGCCGAGACCATATTATTATTATTATTATTTTTTTTTAAATCAGGTTGCAGTTAATTGTATAATGATTCTAATTACTTATACCTTACACACTAACACACACACACACACACACATTTCTAAACCACTTATCCTTCTGGGTCGCAGAGGGTGCTGAAGCCTATCCCAGCGGTCATAAGGCAGAAGGCAGGAAATACCCTGGACAGGTAGCCAGTCCATCACAGGGCAGACGTAAACATATACATTCACAGCTAGGGACAATTTAGCATGTCCAATTAGCCTGATTGCATGTCTTTGGACTGTGGGAGGAATCTGACGCAGACATGGGGAGAACATGCAAACACACAGAAAGGGCACTGGTCGCTGAGCCAGGGAACCAAACCCAGACCTTCTTACTGTGACCACTGAGCCACCATGCTGCCTCTATACTAATACATATGAAGTGGTTTGGGTGGAGTTTACATATATTCCTCATCTCACAGGCCTGATCTCTTTATGGATAACCTCAGTGTTTGAGGTCAAATGTCTTTAGAGAACTTGTTATTTAGCTGCCCCAAACTACTACTATTACTACCACTAATGCTGCATTTACATGTTGTAGAACGTTGTTAGTCTCACAGCAGAAAACAATGACTGTAAACGCCCAACAGCAGCACAAAACCTTGTGCATCCAAAATGGTACCTTAACAGGAGATGGACTAAATGTGCGTATCATAATGTAAATTAATGTAAGGAAATTTTATTTCAAGCAATTTTGGAGCATTTCTGTGGGACCATTCATCATGAAAGTACACAATGTAAAGGGCGGCTGGTTTGTTCAAATAACGTCAAAAATAAATAACAACAAAAAATTGAGGTATAAGGTTTCGTTCCAAAAGCAAGAAAATGTTTCCATAGCACAAGTGTTCCTGCAGGCTGATGAAGTTATCAATTATCCTATACAGGTTTTTGAGGACATGCAGATGTTTCTCAGTACATCTGGAATCTGTCTCACATCTGCATCATTGTGGCAACTTATAACCTGCTCCAGAGTGGGTTACGCTCGAGAGTGGAGGAAGAGAACGAAGAATTGGTCTAGGTATAATTATATAATGCACTGGAAAATAAGCCACTCAATTTATATGATTTTGCAGAAAAATGTCATTTGTTTGCTCCCCGTAGAGCAGGGGTGTCAAACTGAACCACAAAAAGGGCCATATTAAAAAAAATCTCAACAAATCTGTGGGCCAGCTGTGTTTTTCTTTAACTGTAACCTAACATTTCGCTATGACCCAAACAGCCATTGTTTATTCAAAATATGACCAGCAAAATAGGCACTAAATACTTGAATAGTTCAAAAATAATTTTAAATAAAAATATTTTTTTCATATGAAATAATAGGCTACATTAGCCACAGATAAAACCTCAACATTGGGTTTAGTCCACCACTGCAGCGGATGGGAAACGTTGGGAAAATTGAATTCTAGATGGAATGTTCCACTGACCACTGGTTTGTACTGTGACATTAAAAGTGAAGGAACATCTAGTTTGGCATCTCCAATTCTAACGTGAACACAGCTAAGATTCTTACCTTGCGGATCTTCTCAAAACAGCTTGCGTTAGGAAAAAAATCCGCCGCAGCGTCCTCAAGGAGCGCTCAAAGTGTAGAATTCCCAAAGACTGAATCTGAAAATGAGACAAACGACACAGACTATTAGTGGAGGAAGCTATGACATAACGAGCACATATGCCTGTTCTTTCTCGAGTACAGGGAAGAAAAAAAAAGGACGAGCAATTTGAGGGCAGAGTTGGGACTTTGGACCATATGCAGAGCCTCAGTCCTGCACAATGCTTCAGCTGGCTAATGTCTCTTTTTCTTTTTTTGGGACAGACTGCTCTGTGCTTTTGCTTCATTAAGCTCTTATAGCTCCTGGCACTGTAAATGAACTCTTCAGCCTTCTCGTCGAGATCCTGCTTGAAGCTTATAGATTGGAGTGGGTTTGCAGCAGCGCATTTTGTATAATTTGTACCAAACAGGCAAAATACAATACACTGCGTAAGAAGTTTCACCTGGGGAATGTAGATAAGATTTGTGTTTCTCTGTAGGTTTCTGCCCCCCCTTTCCTTTTCGCCCCCCGGTGCTGACTACCTACTGTTCCCTCCACATCATAAATCTCTGGTGACGAGGATGGGTGGGCTATGTGCTCCACTTTCCGCATGCATCAAGGATGGAGGAGCCGTTTGAGGCAAGAATATGAAATGAGATCATTATGGAGAGAAACAACTCGCTGGCAAATATCTATTTCAATCAGTTGCTGGATGTGGGGGTTATCGATCAAAAACCCGCCATCATGCATCCCACTTACTTCCAGCAGACTGTCGTTTCTTCTTTTTTTCTTTTTTTTTTTTTCTCAAGCAGGAGACTGAAAATGAATCGACGTGGCCCATGCTCAGCCATGGATCTGGAGAATTCATCAAACCTTCGGATTATGAAGATTAAAGCGCATGGCAATGAGAGAGACATTCAATTGCGCGCCAACAGTCCTACTCAATATGGAGGATTGATAGTTTCCCGCGGTGAAGGAATTTACATATCAAACCAGTGAGAGAGATGGACTTCCCCGGCCACGAGCTGGCACCGCATGCATTAGAATGAGACGGAAGATGAAGGATAGAGATACCAATCCCTTTTTTTCTTAGTTTGGGCATCTCTCCTATAGAGCATTAAACACTTCCTCCACCTTCTTTCTGCACTTCAGTAAAGTGGAGAGAAGAGGCTGCTCCTCTCTAAGAGATTAAATAAGGAGTTTTTGGCTGTGCCAATTAAAGGTAAGGGCCTCTAGGATTGTTTCAGGTAGAGCGAGCAAGAAAGAGAGAGAGAGAGACAGAGAGAGAGTGTCCCCCTGGCAGCTGTAGAGTTGTTGCTGATGGTTGTCTCCGCAGGCTCAGAGCAGGTCATTACTGCAGGGCTCTCAGTAGTGTAAGGCGTCTTTGGAGGGCTTTGGAGGCAGGCGGAGAAGAGATTGAGGTCGACTCTCAGCAGAAAAGTACTGTCCACCTCAGGGGGATAAAGCGAAGATATTCCACAGGCTCCTAAGCCCGCTGGGTTCTGGGGAGGAGACCTCTACCTCTCTGACAATGATCACATGGATCCTCTCTCCAACCACATCGCGGAACTGATACAGGATGTTAAAATGCTAGATTTTCAAACTAAGGGAAGTAAATAGAGCCAGAAAAGGCAGTTTGCCTGTATCTTCCTCTAGAAAACCGTGTTATGAGTGCCTTCCCAGCTGACTCAAGAAGTGTCAGAAGTGAGTTTTCACGAGGAAAGCCTGGTGAGGAGCCTTCATTGGTTGAACATATGGCTAAATTTACCACCGCAGTGACAAAAAACATTAAAGTGAGGGCCGTATAAAAATTACTTTAGGTAAAATAATTATTAATGTTTAACTAGAGGAGGCAAGTTTGTGAATTCAGTTGGCTTGACAAAGCCATTGCTATGGAATTCCAGGTGGTTGCCAAGGTGTTGCTAGACTATTTGTGCGCTTTCCCAAGTGGTTGCTAAGGTGTTGTTAGGTTGTTGCTATCCTAGTTCAGGTGGTTGCTAAGGTGTTGCTAGGCCATTGCTATGGTATCCCAGGTGGTTGCTAAGGTGTTGCTAGGCTTTTGCTTTGGTATCCCAGGCATTTGCTAAGGTGTTGCTTTGGTATTCCAGCCATTTGCTATGGTGTTCTTAGGCTGTTGCTATGATATCCCAGGTGTTTGCTACAATGTTGTTAAGCCATGGCCATGCTACCCCAAATAGTTGCTAAGATGTTGCTGAGCCATTGTCATACCATCCCAGATGGCTGCCATAGTGTTGCTAGGCTGTTGCTATTCTATCCCAGGTGGGTGTTAGGCCACTGATATGGTATCCCAGGTGGTTGCTGAGGTGCTGCTAGAGTATTGCTATTCTTTCTCATATGGTTGCTAAGGTTTTGTTGGGCTGTTGCTATACCATCCCAAGTGGTTGCTAAGGTGTTGCTATGCCATTGCTAAGACATCGGTAGGCTGTTTCTATGCTCTTAGATGTTTGCTAATAGGTGTAATGTGTATGTATGCATACATGCTAGTTTGTACTGCACACCAGCTACTTTCTTGATCAAAGAAAAACATCTGACCCTCAGTAATGTTATAGTAATTCTCATATGTCGCAATTCAAGCTGCAAACAAGTATTTAAAGAATTTAATACAAACATTCTTTCCAAAGGGTAACGTCTTTCTCCCAAGCCTAGCTGAACAACATGTTTGGGCCTACCTCTAAACTTAATGTACTAAATTTGACAGCGGTTTTGCTGGAAACCCCAGTCAGTACTGACAGTTTTCTTCTTTTCTTCTGTGGCCCTACATCTAATGCCCTGTGTGGTGATTGGAGGAGCTGGAGGCTGGAATGCAGCTTAATTAGAGCAGAGTAGCTAATGAGGAACCCCACAGGAGCGGACACCCAACTAGAGAAGCCACTGCCCCTATGCAGCCAACTCAAAATAGCACTCCAGCACTTCTGTGTTTGAATCACATGGTGGTGAAAGAATGTGGCTCACAGCAAACATGAACAGACCAGAGTAGTTCAGCAGAAATCCAGTGTTGTCCTCTGACTGAAACTGTTGTCTAAAATAGAGGAGGACTGTGTCTGTGAGGTGCGTGGGCTGATGTCGGTCTATGCTGGGAAACAGTGACAGACAGAAAAGTCATTTCTGTCTGTCACACAATAAATACCTGAGAGAACATGGAATTAACCATAAAACACTTCACTTCCACTGTGGAATTTCTCTTTGATAAGATGAATGGTCAATGCACAGAGCCCCTGGTTTAATTAACTAATTGCCTTTGATCCAGAATTTCTGTTAACTTGACTAATTTTTCCTACAGATTTCAATCTTCATGACTTTGCATGGCTACTCTCTCTTCCCTGCACTGTTAAAAATGAAAGGTCAGCACAACCTAAAATGATATAGTAACTGAATACATGGTTATCTTGAGTTAATTCAACTTGGACACAAAAGTTCACCCAACTCAAACCTCTTAGTTGAATCAAAAGTTCTCTTAATTTTTTAGCTCTGCTTCGCAGTTCAGGTCAATTTTTTAAAAGCTCAATTTCCCCACTAACTAGGACTCCTTCCATCATATAATGCTACTAGACATTTTTTTCCTCTTGTGTACTCACTTATGAATGGCTGTGGAATTTCCGGGGTTCAAACTCACAACCTTCTGTTGGGGTGACGGCTTAGTCTGTTGCACCACTTATTGGTTCAACAACTGAAGCAACTCAGATTGTGTCCATAAATGTTTAGTACACTAGAAAATATTTGTTGTTTTAATTTTGAAGCATGGTCTAGTCTCATGTGGTACATCTGTCTAATAGTTTATCCCAGCATCAGGAGATTGTGAGTTTGAATTCCACCAATGCTACAGCTGTCCATGTCTGGAAGACCAAAGAAGAAAAAAATGCCAGATGGGACTTTATGATAGGAGGAGTCCCAGCTAGTGTAGAATTAGAGTGAAAAACACATTCAGTTTTGTTTATCTAACTTAGATGCAGATCTAGAAACAGTAGCTGGGAGACTTTTTGACTTAACTAAATAAGTTAGGTGAAATCATGTCCTCGAGCTGAGTCAAGTCAAAATAGCCATGTGAATAGTCACTTTATAATTTTAAGTTGAGCAGACCTCTCATTTTTTAGTGTGTGCATGAGAGTCAACCATATATTAAGTTGTCCCAGTCTGTTACTCTCAGTCTTGCATGTCATCATTTCATTCTTTGTCAAATATATTGGCTTATACTTGTATTTCCTTATTCAGTGAACTTATAGCCATGTCTAAACAGTCCTTTACTGGAAAACTTTAAAAAAAAAAAAAAAATCTGTATTATACATTTAATAATAGTGGTTTGGTGTGAAATGGGTCAGAGATTTTTTACAATGGTGGTGATAGGAACCAGGGGTCGCCATGACTACAACACAAATATAAAATTCATTTACTATCCAAAACCACCAGTGAACCTACACATGCCTTCTGAGTTTTTTATATGGAATGTTGATGATGACAGCAGCATTAAACTGTTCAAATGTCTGGTTCTCATCACCACAACTGTGAACAATTCATTTCACACCAAACCACTCTGGATGACTGTTTACATTTTAACTTTTTAATGATGGAGAAATTATTAGGACTAAGAAAGCAGAAGAGCCATGTAGGAACCAGGAACCACATGGTGATCCCTGCCTTCTATCACCACCACAGTAAAGAAATCCAAGTCTATAAAATTCTACATTTAACCTTTTCACATTAAACCACTGTGAATGACTGTTTACATTTGCAGTAATTCATTACGCAGATAAAAGGTAGAACTCCCTTTGTAGATGAAAGGCTTTGCAGAGAATTGGTGTCCATAATATATAAAACTATAGCTGGTGTGCTAATAATAGTCATCCTAACTCTTACAAATGTGAAAGAGCAGAGCCAACAGTTCTCATACATTCCACTCACTGTTTTGACCACTGCCCCACTACACCAGCCTTGCAACATCCAGTAAACTGAGCACAGTTGGCTCAGTGTCCAAAATAAAATCTTATATTTTAGTGTTGTTTAGGATTTCTGGCCCAGCCACCTTTAGCTATTGTACTTGCACCCCAGAGACCCACTGAGCCT